AATCATTATGCTGAAGAGTACCATAAAAACAAAATAATAGTATCATTACTTATTGATTAAAATAATTTAAAAAAGTATTTACAGATTTAAAAAAAAAAAAAAGATAGAAAAAACATGTTCATAACAAATATAACGATAGCAATGGCAAGCTTTATCATGTACATTTGCAAAGGCGGAAAAATAGCAAATGATTGTCAGAAAAAATTTTGCATTCTGGGAGTAGTATTAAATGTTTATTGAATCTTAAAATGCGAAAATGTACTGGTAAGTAATCGTTAAAGTAGTCTCATAGCATAAATGACGCAAAGTAAATTTGCGTGAGTCACATACTTTACTGTTTTAAACGTAGATTTATTTTCTTCAAGAATACCATCGTATGGTTGAAAAAATATCTGCTTGGATTTTTAATTCATTTCATTTATCTTAAGAATTCATTAAATTTTAGAAAAAGCAATGGTTATTCTGTAAATACTGTACTTATTGTAATAATTTTTTTTCCACTAGAAAATAGTTGTATAAGTTTTTAAAAACATTATAATTTAGAAAAGCATTGTTTCCTGTAAAATCAACTTAAATATATAAATGTAAAGTCCCACCAAATAATTTGTTCGTTTGAAACAAATTCTGGAAAACAACAGTTCTATCTAGCGTAAACCTATTAGATGCGCAAAACTTTATTCCTTAGTATGTTATTCTGAACAAGTGTTTGAGAAATATAAGTGAAAGTTAATCAAATTTATTTTCTGAATAATTAACTTGCTCTTATTTTTTCATTACTTCAGCTGTTTCAACAGCCTATTCCACATAAAGAAAAGTAATTATTTGTAATTAATCTATTGTTCTGTATATGACTTTTGTTATGTAAAAAGACTTGTATGAAAAGATAAGGATTCCGAAGGCGTGGAAGACTTTTTTAATGTTATGTACTGTTTTGAACTTGAAGCGTTACTATATAATTTTTCAAACAATTAATACTCACCTCAAAAATGTTAATTTTTAAAAAACTTGGGGACATCGATGATATAGGGTGATAAAATATTTCTGACATTTTTCTGCTCATTATTTCGTCTTTGCAAACCTAAATAATAAACCTTACCCCTGTGACCTTAATATTTCTTAGAATGTAAGAACTTTTGTTTCAAATTTTATTGTAAAAATTACATGGTTTTCAAAATTTTAATTTTACCTGAGTGTTTTTCCAACATTCAATTGAAATTGCACTGTCTCTCCGTACGATAAAAAATGACAATACTAGAACAGTAACTATCATCTCTGTAAGCATTGAGAATAAAAATTACTGTACTTTGCCGTGAAAATTATTGAGAAAACAGTAAAAATAACGTCGCAGAATGGTAATTTTCATGAAATTTTTCGATAATTTGAGTTTTTTAATCCTTTGAGTAAAAATACCGATTCACATTCAAAGCAGTCATAATAGCAGAATTAACACTCACAACGTTATTTAGTAAATACTTGCGAGCACGTCACTTATGCATCTACGAGTAATGTAAAATATTTTTATGCGAATCAATATCAAACCCACCAATTTGGATAATCCGCGAGATTACTTTTACAATAGCAAACGATTCCACTGTTTTGTTGTTAATTTTTTTTCTTATCACGACTAGTTAACAAAAAGACCGAATCTCAAGGTTTTTTAATGATCCTCTCTCTCTGTGCACAACGTAAAAATGCCAATAAAAGTCTACAAATGACTTTATTGGTTTCCAACTGAGAAGCAGCATTAGCGATTGAGGTGCGTTTCATACTTCCTCTAACAAGCACGCATGACTGATTTGGAATACAATTAAACATTGGCGGCTTTGAGGCATAAGAATCGTATACCTAGTTGGTCTCTTGAAGCTGTGCAAAACGATTTTAAAAGATAGATGGGTTCACTTAGCCAATGATCAATATATAGTACATACTTGATTACAGCTAGATGACAGATCTATAAATTGAAATTAAATTGTGCAAAAACATATTTTTTAAATAACATTTTTATCCGATGCTCCGTTCGATGCTCAACACTTGTAGATAAGGATGATTACAAGACAATTCAGATTGAGATTGTTTATGTAATAAAAACTCAAGCTTTACCCCAATTTTTTATAAATGATTCCAAGCGA